CACTGCTGGCCTCTCCAACACCAGGCAACAGTCCTTAGAGCTTGCCAGGTAGCCCCCGAGAACTCAGAAGCAAGACTGCTTGGAGCTGGAGAGATATAAGCCTGGCCGTGCCGCAGCCTTCTGTAAGGTGGCAGGGAGAAGTGTCAGCCCATGTATGCAGGGTCAGGTCTCGGAGGCAGAGGCAGGCACATCTCTGAGGTTCACCCCCACCTGGCTTTTAAAGTCTGTATCTAATTCCTTTCTATATACTGACTGATCCTTCTGTCTCCTCCCTAACAAAGACCATGGGATATTTAACACCAGAGCCTATTAAGTTCCAAAAGGCATGATTCTATAGTGCCTGTTACCCTTGTCACTGATATTTGTAACATGCTTAGCTAGAATTGTGGGGTGGGCAAAGAGGCTGATGAGTCGAGGCCCTGCCACCGAGTGCAATGGTCTGAGTTTAATCCCTGAGATTCACATGGTTGAAAGTGAGATGGACACCAGCTTGTTCTCTGACCTCCACACACGAGCTGTTGCATTGTACCAAACACACACACTAAACAATAAGTATTTAGGCAGTTGCTTACCTCAAATAACCATTTTTACTCAGTTATCATTCAGAGGATCACTAAGAGAAAGAAGCAAAGAGCCACCCTGCTGGAAAGTACAGCACACGGAGTTCAGGCTGTTCTGTTTTTCCGGATTCAGGGCAGTTGTATCAGCTGAAGAGGAAACCACCCTGGGCTGGGCAAGCTGTAATCTCAGCAGCTGTCCACGGAGAACAGAAGGGAAACAAAAGCCTGTGCTTAAGCTAAGCTGGTGTGGAGGTCAGCCACATAGCCATGCAGCCGTGTGGCAAGAAGTAGGGCTTTAGAGAGAGAAGAAAACCCACAGAACCAGAGAGAGTGTCCCTGAGTCCTGGCCAGCATGGGAAAGAGATAGGAAAGAAGCAAGGAAAGATCCTGAACTCGAGGAGGACCATGCTGGGCCTGGAACTCTGAGTGGAAAGCACAGGATCTCATTGAAGAAATAATTATCCTGCCTATCTGGGTGCCAAATTTACAGACGTGGATTTGGTCTTATCAGTAAGCTATGGTGAAATAAGAATTTTCAAAATTTTAGTGTGTGCGTGAAAATTTTAGTAAGTTTTCAGAAATTTAGTTACTAATTCATAACATGGATTCTTGAATATATTTCTCAAAGACTTTTTTTAATGATTTATTTATTCTTATTTCATGTGCATTGGTGTTTTGCCTGAGTGTATGTCTGTGTAAGGGAGTTGAACCCCCTGGAGCTGGAGTTACAGACACTTGTGAGTACCGGGAATTGAACCCAGGTCCTCTGGAAGAGCAGCCAGTGCTAACTGCTGAGCCATCTCTCCAACCCCAAATTTGTGAATATTAAAAGTCAAACTATACCAAAAAAAAAAGAGAGGGAACCAGAACGTCAGTTCCTTGGAAGCAGGCCAATTGGCTGCAGTTCAAGTCAGTAGGTCTGTGGAGCCTGCCCTGCACACCTGCTTTGTTCAGCACCACTGGACCAGCCTTGATACCTGATCCCAGGTCCTAGGCTTGCCCCATACTAACTCCTGAGATGACAGTCTTTTCCTTTGCTTGCTTGTTTGCTTGAGACAACAGGGTCTCTCTGTAGTTCTGGCTGTCATAAAGCTTCCTGTATAGACCAGGCCAGTCTCAACTCAAATCCTCCTGCCTCTGCCCCCTAAGTGCGGGTTTAAATGCGTATGCCAGTGTGCCTGGCTTACAACATGGCATTCTCCTGCACAGGAAATATACTCCCTCGGAAAGGTACACAGAATGGAAGTAATAACATTTACAGGGCAACAGGTTCCTGGTGAGGAGGTGTGAAGGCGGGGGTGACTGCGGAACTCTGGAGAGTGCTGGGCAGAAGACGCAGCAGCAAGCACCCAGCAAGCGTGAGGACTGGGGCCTGTGCTCAGTTCCTGGACCAGGGTTGACCTGGTCTAGCACAGGGTTGACCTCTGGCCTGCCCTTGCACATACACATGGGCAGCTGCACGTAAAACACACACATACACGTATGCATGTACACACACACAATAATAATAAGAATGAATATTTTTAGAAATATAATTGAATTATTAGATAAAAGCATGGGTTTTGTTTATTAAAATTTGTATGTCATTTTCTGATATATTCTAAGCATCAATTTCATTGAATAAAAAGAGAAAGGTGAAATTTTTAGAAATTGCCATGACTATAAATCTCTAGGTGTAAACAGTGAAAGATATACCAGCTACCCTTTCCCCAAGTATTTGGGTATCTGTTAAAATTAGTGAGGGCCTGGGCAGGCATGCTGGCATGTCCTTTAGCCCCGGCTGCTGTCAGTTGAGGGGGAGGCCCACTTGGGCCTAAGTGAAAGACTAGGCTGGGTACATCTTAAGACCTTGTCTCAGAACAACAGGAACGGTCAGGCAAATAATTATTTGTCGGAATGCAACTCCTTAGTACTTAGCTGCAGCCTGATAGAGACACCACGGTCTCTGTTGACATGAGCACAGCTGACGATGTTTCCTGCTTTGTGAGGTGTCCTCAGCTCGATGAAGCTCAAGTCCTAAGGCTGGTACATGCTGCTGTTTGAGAGCCTTAGAGATCTTTTAAACCTATCTATTCCTGACTGATGCGTTTCTTTGAAAAGATTAAACTCAGCTCCTGGGAATCCTCTCTTGCCTTCCCCAGCTAAGATGACTTTTGCTGTCTTCATATTCTGCCTTTATTGTGGGGGGGTTTGTGTCATGCACCCCTGTCACAATCCTTTCCTAGTCCTTCCGTGCCTGTCCCCTTTAGGATCTCCCCCTTAAAAGACAAAAGAAAGGAAAAAGGCCTGCTGTGTTATCTGGAGCAGGTCAGGTGGCCTTGCATAGACCTGAGCCTTCCCCTCCCACTCTGCCAGAGTGGAGAGCTACCTCAGCACCCCATCACATTTAAGAGTTCTCCTTGGTGGCTGGAGAGCTGGCTCAGAGGTTAGGAGCACAGGCTGCTCTTCCAGAGGTCCTGAGTTCAATCCCCAGCACCTGCACGGTGGCTCCCAACCATCCATGTTGAGATCTGGTGCCCTCTTCTGGCCTGCTGGCCTACATGCAGACAGAATGCTATATAAATAGAAAATAAATAATACAAAAAGAATTATTTGAAAGAGTTCTCCTTGGTGGCTTCCTGTCTAGGCTGTTACTTTTTGGGGTGGGGTAGTGTTGTAGGGATAGGCTTTCATGTCCCTGCCCCCACCTGTGGCTGCAGTCATCCAGAGCGCAGCAAAAGCAGCCTCCTCGTCCTTCCAGTCAGCGGCCTGGAGGAGGGCCTCCGCGGTTTCTGGTGACAGCATGGACCAGAGGGTGGCTCCCTACTGCAGTTGGACCCCGGGCCCAGACAAGGCCCTGGAGGCTGTGCCGCTCGCGGACATCAGCGTGGCCTAGGTGGCAGTGCCAACCCTGAGCCCCCACAGACCCCGAGCACCGGCTGCAGCCCCATGCATGGCCCTGGGCAGCAGCGTGGGACCCAGGTGACAGGGCCAGCCATCCACATCAGCGTGCTGCACACCCACCCGGGCAGGGCTGGCTCCCCAACTGCTGGCCCTGCCTCTGAATTTGTGCCCAGGAATGTCAGGGTGAATTCCATCCAGAGAGGATCTCTCTGTTAGCACCTAGAGCAGCAGATAGAACTTGAGTGCTCACGACTAGAAGGAGAACAGGCTGGAAAGCTGGGGTAGATTGTTAATAATTTTGAAAATCTGTTTTTTAACACTAATGCAAATTGTAAAGATAACTTGTGGGAAGCATGTGAAATGTGTTTGAAAAGAGAAGAAAATTCCTGGGTGGTGGCCCACACTTTAATCCCAGCACTAGGGAGGCAGAAGCAGGTGGATCTCTGAGTTCAAGGCCAGCCTGGTCTACAGAGTGAGTTCTAGGGCAGCCAGGGCTACACAGAGAAACCCTATCTTGGAAAGAAAAAAAAAAAGGAAGAAAGAAAAAGAAAGAAAATTTTGTGTTAGCGAGAATAAAAATGAAGCCGCATTCCCCAGTTTCTGTCATGTAGGAATAACTGTTGAGCCCTCCATCTAGTGCTGAGTGACGTAAAGGCCCTTTGCCTGTCTGTGACGGGACGTGATCACGGTGACAGGCACTGGCTGTGAGTGGCCTGCCCACCCCTCCTGTTTGGGGGAGGTGCCAGGGCCCTGAGGCAGGAGAGCTGACCTGCTTGCTCTGCTCTCTTTGCAGACAGTCGTTAAGTCTATGGGCTGGAATCTTGTTGGTCCTGTCGTTCGCTGCCTCCTGAGGAGCGGGGAAGAAGAGCAGAGAAAGGCGTGTTTTCTGATGTTTGATTTGCTGGTGAAGGTGCGTGAGACACAGCAGCACTGCAGGCCCTGTCATGTTTAGTTCTTCTTCTCTGGTAAGAAAATTTTAGTCCAGGAGATTCCTCTTAGCTGGTGCCCAGGCGTACTTGACTGGATAGGTGGGCAGTTCCATCTCAGTATTTCCCAGCGTTCCTAGATGTCAGAATTATCCGCTCTAGACACCCGAGTCAGTTTCCAGTACGAGCGGTGATGTAATTTAACAAGCGTTCTTATCACAGATGAAGTCAGTGTGGGAGAACTGTTTGAATGCCGTGCCGACCCCGTGCAGCACGAGAGCCAGAGTCAAATGCCAGCACTGCCTGGGTCACGACAGGCTAAAGGAGACCTAAGGGGTGGGCCTTGGGTGGGGCTCTGGAGGATGAAGGGTTGAAAATGCCGTAATAAAACTTAATACCGGAAGCTGTTGAGACTGCTGGAATATGGTGGGAAGAGCTCCCTCCTGAGTGTTGACTGAGAGGGAGGAAGCGGGCTGTGGATGTCTCTGGGAGATGTGCTGAGAAAGTCAGGCGGCTTGAGGTGTCAAGACCTGGCTGTCGGGATGCACCACCAGCATTTGTGGAGACCGGGCGGGTGGTGTGAGGGTCCTGAGGTCTCCATGAGGGTCAGGCCCCATGGAGAGTCCACAGGGGAGGGCTGAGCTCTGAAGAGCCACGTAACAACGGTAGAGGGCGTTTTACAGTTAAGCAGATATGACTGTTTTCTCAGTATGTCTTCTTTAAAAGAGTAATCATGTGGCTTTAAATACAACTTGCATTAAACAGGTTCAATTATGAATATTTTTATAGTTATGTAATCCAAAGGAATTGTTGTTGGGTTTGCTTGAACTAATTGAAGAGCCCTCTGGAAAACAGATATCCCAAATTATCCTTCTTTTACTTCAGCCGTTACAGACAGGTAATGAGCATTTTGATATTCACGTATTTCTTGTTTTATTCGCATAAGTACCTCGGTGTTTTACCCCCGTGAGAACAGCCTACCAAAGCAAAGCTTGTGATAGTCGCTGCGTGCTCAGCGTTAGGCTGGCTGAGCAGTGCGGTGTGGGTGCTGCAGGGTGCCTGGGGGAGCAGCCACTCGTGAGTGCCCATCGTACGTCCCCCTGCGTCCCTGTGTGTAGCTTGGTTAGTTTTCCTTTTACATGTATGAGTATTTGCCTGAATGTGTCTGCACACCACTCGCATGCCTGGTGCCCTTGGAGGCCAGAAATGGGCATCAGAGCCCCTGAACTGGAGCTACAGCAGTTGTGAGCTGCCACATGGGTGCTGGGAACCAAAGCAGGAAGAGCAGCCAGTGCTAACCACTGAGCCGTCTCGCCAGCTTCACTGTCTGCGGGGTACAGTTAGAGTTTTCTCTCTGAGTGTATGTGGTGGCTCAGCTGTGCAGCATGACAGCCCCAGCAGGTGGCAGAACCGTCATAATTTGGTCAAGAAGGACAGCAGCCAGGGTGCTGCTCAGTGTGGAACTGGAGGTTGGAGTTAAAAGGTGCACCCAGAGGATGGAATGAGGATGCAGAATGAGAGGGCTCCATGGCTTAGCGTTGGGTTGCAGCAATCAAGACTGACATTTTTCCATGAAAGAAGCTGTTTCATTTCAGAAAATATATATTTTCAGAATGTAGTAGAGGGACTTAGAACTCTTATACTTCTTAAATATTCTAATCTTCTAAGGGCACAAAAAGTTCAGCAATACTTTTTTACATTTATAGAGTGCTTTGTAATTTTCCATTCATATTTTGTGCTTATAACCAAAAATAACGGGAAAATGTAACCAGCTATAACATATTTTATCAGTTGATTTTTTTTTTGTTGTGCCCAAGTGCCTGAGCACGGCACATAAAGGAAGAACTCTTGATCTGGGTTAGGATGTGAGGCCCATCATGGTGGGGGAGGCAGCTGGCCACACTGCAGAGGAGTGAGGTCAGGCTGTGCCACCCGAAGCCTGCTGGGCTTCAGCAGCCATCCGCCTCCTGCAGGCCCTGCGTGCAGCAGTGCCAGGTCAGGACAGTGACGGCCCGTCTCTTGCAGTTATTCAGAAACTTCCCAACAACAAGGCGTACTCGGTTGGCTTGGCCCTGTCTACCCTCTGGAGCCAGCTGTCCCTTCTTCCGGTTCCACACTCAGAAGAACAAATACAGGCAGACGACTACGGCCTTTGTCAGTGCTGCACAGCCCTAACGGAGTTCACCAGACCTTTTGTGGAAGACGTAGCTAATAACAAAGAGAATGAGAAGCTGAAACACGAGTTACTGAAGTTGTAAGTAATTTTGAAGCCCATCCCACAGTGGAGTGGCAACTCCGCTACCATCTGCTTCTTATTTGTACGTGCAAATCTAGTTTCCCATTGTGAATTTCAGGTCGAGACGTTGGGCTGATAGAGCAAGGTTGTTTAGTGAGGCACTGACAGCATAAAACTAAACCCTTTACTTAATTTTCTTTTGCCCATCACAGCAAGCAAATACTGAAAGTGGGGGCTGGAGATATAGTTAACTCAAGGAAATAACTGTCTGCGGGAAATTGAACTTGAAAGCAGCAGAAGGACCACCAGACAGCTGAGCGTCACCCCGACCACAAGCTGAGCAATGCTCACCCACGGGCTTTCACTCCGTGGGTTCTGCCTAAACCTCCACTGTTCAGTATGGCTGCCAATCCTTTGGCATATGGGTGTGCAAATACGATGTGCTGTTGGTATAAAGTAGCCTCTAGACTGTAGACTGGGCCACTTTAAAAAGGAGACTCGTAAGCTAGATATGGTGGTACTCAGCTGTCATTTTGGGGAGTTAAGGCAGGAGGATTGTGAGCCTGGGTTATAGCGTAACCTGCCTCAAAAAAATAAACCAAACCAAACCAAAACCTTTAAGACAAAGAGCACACAACATAAAAAGAGAGAAGTAAAATTCCTGAACTAGCTTTGTGTAACTGTGATCTATCAAATGCTTCAGCTATATTGAGATAACTGAGGCAAATAAATAATTTCTCCTGTTTCTTCCAACTTTTCATATGTGGCTACTAAGAAATCTTAAATTCTAAATTATAGATGGAATTTGTGTGGCATTTTTCTTGGGCCGTACTAATATTTTCTTTTTTTTTTAATTTGGTAGACTAATGCTTTTGTTACTTTTCTATTTTGCTGAGTTAAGGCATTTAAAGTTGTTTTTTATGAGGGGGTTTGTTTACCATTTAGGAAACCTATTACTTCATTAAAAAAACTATTTTAAAGAACTAGTAAAGCTAGATTTTAAAAAAGTAAATATAACTCTGGAAAAATTACTTTACTGCCCTGATTTTAGTGATGACTAGTGATGGCTGCATCGTGGCTGTGGTCCTCAGGCAGACATTGAGCTCAGTCTAGAAACAACGTGAGCCTCACTGTGTGGGCTCTAGCAAGGCTTTCTCATGTGCTCCATTCCTGTCACCAGTGAGAAAGGACTGAGGAGCTCCTGGGTTTGCCTTAGGCCTCTTGGGCCACTAGAATAAGGTCCAGGTGATTTATGGTGACAGTTGCACTGGTGTGCAACTCGAGGCTAGGGTTCTAAGGTTGGGGTGCGAGGGCTGGTGGAGGAGGAGGAGGGGCAAGTAAGAGCTCACTTCTGCAGAGCAGGTCTTTCCCAGGGGGCACAGCCCACCTTTAAAGGGCCCGCTTCTTAAGACTGTAGTGACAGCTGAATTCAGCCTGAGCCGAGGGGAAGGAACAAGTGCAGAGCTGCGTGTTCACGTAAAGCTTTTGAAGAAGTAGCATGCTGTGCTTGGGAGCGTCCCGCACAGCCACCTCTTACTTCATTCCACAGCTGTTTCAAAAGCTTGAAATGCCCTTTGCTGACAGCACAATTCCTTGAACAGTCTGAAGAAGTTGGAAATGACCCTTTCCGATGTTTTGCATCTGAAGTAATAGTAAGTAGTCAGTCTGATCTGCTATAATCCTGCTGTAATTTTAAATTTACCCTGCTGTATTCCGAGATGGCCACTTGCACTGATAATTTATGAAGACAGCAACATGTAGTTTTTAGAATACAGGCACACAGCGGGATGGAAATGAAACGCCAATAACCTCGTTATCTAAAGCCTTACACGTTTCTATCTTTATGCTAACAAATGAGACAGTGCATACATACACATACAGTCTTGAAAGATTAGCTCATATAGTGCTGTGTAGTTTTCTCTTAATATTGTAATGCAAATATTGCTATGATTTAATAGTATTTTTAAAAGACAGAGAGACAGAGTTTTCCTGAACGTGTGTGTACTACACGCATGCTCTCCCTGTGGAAGCAGAGGAGAGCTGTCAGATCTCTGTTGTTAGGCAGCATGTAGGTGCTGGGAGCTGAACGTGGATCCTCCAGAAGAGCAGCCAGCACCCAGCTTATGCCTTTTTAATTAGAACATCAAGCGTGTTTTCACTGCTGTGTAGTTACCAGCACGGTCATCTCGAGAACGTGTGTTTGCACCTGAAATCTGCCAGGTTAGCTCACTCCCCCTCGCTTTGTCCTGTCACTTCCAAGCAATGCCACTCTGTGTCCGAAACACTTTTTTTTTTTTTCTTTTGTTTCACATTGAAATGGTTTCTCTTTTTATTTTTAGTTTTTTGGAGACAGGCTCTCACTATATAGCTCTGGCTGTCCTGGAACTCTCTTTGTAGAGCAGGCTGGTCTTGAACTCACAGAGATTCACCTGCTTCAGTTTCCCAAGTGCTGGGATTAAAGGCTTACACCACCACGCCCAGCTTCATTTGTGTTTTAAACTACTCATTCATTGTACTACAAAGGGTGTTATCTGCTCTTCACGTACGCCACATGCGTGCAGTGGCCAAGGAGGCCAGAAAGGCTATTGGAGTTCTTGGAGCTGGAGCTATAGACAGTTGTGAGCCACCCTTTGAGTGCTGGGAACGAAACCTGGGTCTTCTGCAAGAGCAGCCAGTGCTCTTAAATGCTGAGCCACCTCTCCAGCCCTCCACCAAGCGGTCAGGTAGGCTGGCCGTCAACAAAACTCATTTAATTATGACTGTGAGTGAGACCATATCTCAAAGTAAGTAAGTAAATAAAACAAAACAAACAAAAACAAACCTGCCTGATGAGGCAACGTCCACCCAGGGTAATCTTTTGAATCACTCAGATCACTGACTTGAAACCTTCACTATACCAGCAGACTTCCTCACTGTCTTAGCCAGCGCTCTGTTGCTGTGAAGAGACACCCTGGCCACAGCAGCTCTCAGGAGAGAAAGCATTTCACTGGGCCGGCTGACAGGGTCAGTGGTTAGTCCACTGTCCTCATGGCGGGAAGCATGGCGGCCTGCAGGCAGAAGTGTGCTGGAGGAACAGCTGAGCTTTCCATCCAGATCTGCAGGCAGCAGGAAGTCAGAGACACTGGGCCTGGCTTGCGCTTTTGAAACCTCAGAGCCCACCCCAGTGACACACTTCCTCCAATAAGACCACGCCTGCTTTCATGATGTCACACCTCCTAATTCTTCTCAAGAAGTGTAACACCCCAGTGACTGAGCATACAAATACATGAGCCTGGAGGGGCCATTCTTATTCAATCACTGCACTCACCACTGGCATTTAATTATCTAGACATGGCTGGGTACATTGGCCCGCATCTATAATTCCAGCACTCAGGGAGGCAGAGACAGGAAGATCTCTGTGAGTTGGAGGCCAACCTGGTCTACAAAGTGAGTCCAGGACAGCCAAGGCTAAAAAGGAAAATGAGTAATCATGGGAGTGACAGTCAAAGCAAGTGTCACAAGTTCCACACAGTTTCAAAGAGGGGATTATACAGAGTGAGGGTATATCATAAATAGTTTGTTTATATGCTAATGCTTTTTTCTTTAAAAACCCATTCCTTAGGGATTTTTATCACAAATTGGACATCCTGTCCCCCAAATTATTCTAAATCATGGAAGAAAAAAAAAGACTTGGGATTGCCTTGAACTCGAGGAAGAAGAAGACAGACAACTGGCAGAGTCTCTGGCGTCCCTGGCATATCTGGTATTTGTTCAGGGCATCAGTATTGATCGGCTTCCCCTGGTCCTAAGGTACGAGTCGCTGTCAGGCTCCTGCATTGTTTACTGTCCGGTGCATGTATATTAACACACCAGAACCCTGAACGATGGTGGACCAGAGATGCCTAGGCTTTCCTGCCTCTCCACCAGTGTGAAAAAGGCATCAAGTAGGTGTGTGGCTGCAGGGAGAAGTGGGTGTGTGAAAAGGCCTGGTGTGCAACAGCAGTCATAGATGCCAGATGATGCCCAGGTGTGCCGAATATCAGGCTTATAACAGAAGCAGTGTGCCCTGACACGAGTGCTGGGCAGTGTGGCTGGCATGAGGAGACAGCCCTCGTGGCGCTGTGAGAGCAAGAGAAGAGCCTTGGTGAGTGCCACGGGCCAAGGGCACGGCATCCTGTGGGACAGGTCACACCCAGCAGACACTTTCTTGTTCGCTGATGCTGTGGACCTGAGAGCTCGTATAGGCGAGTTCTCAGCAGGGTGGGTTGGGGGGGGGGGGGTTTAGGAGCCCAAAGGAACCAAAGTGGGAGGTTCACACATTACTAATAAAGGCAGTGTGCACGAGGCCTAGAGCCAACACACTACTGACAGCAATAAACTGAATACACTGCCTTCAAAATGAGTAGGACTGCCATAACAAATAAAATTCTGTCAAAAGTGCAGAAACAGCTCTAAAGGCTGGGAGTATGTGATAAGATGTCAGAAGGATCTTCCTTCTGAGGGCTGGTGCTTTCTGTTGCTACGATAAACACCACGAACAAAAGCAGTATGAAGAAAGAGAAGGTTTGTCTTACCTTTACTGTTTTCATCCTGCTTTTGATGGGAGTCAGGGCAGGAACACAAGAGGCAGGAACCCTGCCCACTTCCAGCTTACTGTCTGGCTTGTTCTCTAGCTCACAGTCAGCTTTCTGAACGCCCAGACCCCAGTGCCAAGGGAATGGTGCTGCTCGAAGTGGGCTGCACCCTCCCCACATCAGTCAGGACAGGTCAGTCACAGGCCAGCCTGACCAGGGAAAATCTTCACCAGAAACTCCACCGTTGCACAGGAGTCTGAAGAGGGCCCAGCTGACAATAAAAGCCAGCTGGCAGGCCAGGAAGAATCCCCACACGTCTGTCATCTGGATCTTTGACTGTCTTTGCCCTCATAGTCTCTCATCACCCTCCCTGTGTGCTGAATTTCCTTGTGTGTTTAAAGATGTATTTATTGTGTATGTCTGTGTGGGTAGGTGAATATGGGCACAATGTCTGCACAAGTCTGAAGTGGGCATTGCATCCCATGAGGCAGGGTTTACACACATTTATAGACCGCCTGATGTCTGTGCTGGGAGCTTAAGTTCTCTGCTGCCTAACCACTGAGCCATCTCTCCAGCCCCTGGATTTCCTCTTTAATGGGCATGAGGTGGAGCAGAGCTCACTCCAAAGACCTCACTTTGTTTTAACTCGATAAAAACCTTAGCTCCAATATTCTGAGTTCTGTAGGCTATGACTCCAACGTGTTCTTTGGGAGAACAGAATCAAATGTTGAGAGGGTGAGAGAGAGAGATGCTTGGGGCTGTGACTGGAGAGCAGTGTGAAGAGTACTTATCTAGCATGTGTGAGGCCCTGGGTTTACTCAGTGGTTGAGGACAGGAAATTGCTATTTCTCAAAGATCTTTTTTATTCTTTCCTATCTTAGCCCATCATACCTTCTGCAGCTGAACATGGAACACACTGAAGTGCTTCTGCAACGGTAAGGTCATGTGGATGATCAAGTGTTGAGGTCAGGGCTGCCAACAGCCACCACAGAAAAGAATTCTCACTGATTGGTCCACAGAATTTCTCTTTAAACATGCACATGCTGAATTAATTTTGAAAGTGTTGCAGCAAGCCCTGGGTATTGCCTAATGCTCAACCTTGTTCAGCCTCCCAAGTGCTAGTGTTACAGGTGTGCGCCCTCACTCCAGCTGACGGTGTACCTTTCAGAGACTGTATATTTCAGTTTGGGTCTGCTTATCCAAAAGTACACAATCGTTCTAAATGAATTACAAAACCACAGTGATAACTTTAATGTTTTCTTTCAGAACAGAACAGTCTGTTTTTTCCAAAGGATTGGTAAGATTTGTTTGTTACCATTGTGTGTGTGTGTATGTGCGCGCGCGTGGGCGTGCACGTGCACCCTGCTCGCATGCGCTTGCTTGTGGAAGTCAGAGGACAACCTGCAGGAGCTGATTCTCTGCATTGTATGGGTTCTGGGGCTCTTAAGGCACCATACTTGGGGTAAGGCCTTTCTCTGTTGACCTGTCTTGTCAGCCTGTTTGCTAGGATTATAAGTGGTGAAAATAAGAAACAGAGCTGTCAGCTGCACCTCATGTGTTTGTGTATGTATTTTCATCTGCAGGAACTTCTGGAGACCAGCTTATTGAGATTAGAGAACAACAGCCTGCTCTATCAGTACTTAGAAATCAAGAGTTTTCTCGCTGTCCCTCAGGTAAGCTGGATATATACTCCCTTGCTGCAGCAGATCCCTGTGAGTTCTGAGCTCTGAGGTGAGGCGTACCTGTGCTTCCTCTCCTCTCCTTCCCAGCCTCTGCAAGCGCTATTGTAGCGTCCAGCTGAACTTATAACTCATCCAGTCAAGTTTTTGTACAGAAAAAAAAAAATGCTAGGAAAAAAAAATAGAAATACTCTGCTATCTGTGCTGGCATGGCAACAGCTATGTAGCTAATAAGACAGTGGAACTGAAGTCTATCTTGATAATTTATACTGTAAAAATCTTCTATTCTTTATGAGTTTCCCCCAACTCGCAGAATACACAAATACTTAAAATAGCTTTTAGCGACTATCCTAGTTGATGGTGCAGTGGAAGGCCCTTGGAAGCCCTTGGCCTTCTACCCGCACTCTCAGGCTCCATCTCACACTATAAAAGTGTCCATTTTTGTCTCCTCCTGTGGTATGCTTGCCTGATACTCTTTGCTGTGTAGGTCCTTAGTTGTGAATGTGGAAATCTTTGAATATTTAGGTAGAACGGTGTGGCTTGATTATATTTAGCTAATGCATTATATTTCTGCATATTTGATTTCTTTTTCTTGCTATTCTATACATAATTGAAAATTAGCATTCACTTTAAAGTCACACTTAGTCGCATTTCATTTGTGCTGTGTATAAACCTCATTGTAGTTTGCTATGATGCAGTCGCGAGAGCCCAGAGGGGCAGGCCTCCTTGGCCTGATGTCTCCTTTCTCTCCCTCTTCCTCTCAGCACCTCGTAATGATTTAACTTTGCAGACAGAATCTGTTTACATCTGATTTAAATGTTCTTTTCTTTATTTCTAGGGCCTAGTCAAAGTGATGACACTTTGCCCCATTGAGGCATTGGTATGTATTCTTCAGGGACCAAGTCAAGAGTCGCAGCGAGAAATCCACTAAGTACTTTTAAGTGTTTTGTGTAATAGTATTATTTGTTTCATTTCAGAGGAAAAAAGGTTTAGCTTTGCTTCAGCTCTTTATCGACAAGTTGGATTCACAAGGCAAATACACATTATTTAGGTATGTAGCACGCTGACGAGCCAGGCGCTTTTCATTGCCCTCATAAAATCACAGAGGAAACAGCATAGGGAGAAAGGTTTGGGCTTAGTGTTTGCAGATGTGCAGCCTATAGCTCACTGGCTCTGTGCTGTGGGCATCTGCTGAGTCAGAGTTCATGTGGAGACAGCATGTGGACCGCCTAACGGAGCAGGGTTGTCCACCTCCAGGAAGGGCTGAGGACAAGACACGTCCTCTCGCGGTATGCCCCCAGACACCCACTTCCTGCACTAGATTCCACCTCTCAGGGATGCCATTATATATGACTCAATCAGGGCGTGGGCCATTGATTGGTTTGACCCTCAGGATCCAATCAGTCACTTCAAGAAGTCTGTCAGCTGCACCCAGTCTTCAGCACACGAGCTTTTAGGAGACAGTCTGAAACAGCCCATGGCTAACTGTTGGGTGTGGCTGATGGAGACCTGCTGGTGCCAGGTAATCATCTAAAGGTACAGTCTGCAGTGTTTCAGTGTCTAGAACCCAAGAATCACCTTATCAAATACTTTGGAATCATATGTGAGTAGCAGTGTGTAATTTTTAGTTTGATTGACACACTGTGCTTAAGCAGTCTTCAGAGAGTAACTGCGGCTGTACTGCTCCCACTGGCCTTAGCGCACTGGTGTCCATCATTGTAGAGTCCACGTGCCTGCACCACAAAGGCCCCGCAGCCTTGACAGCTGCGTCCTGCTACGTCACTCCTAGAGCTCACTTGTAGAGTTTTTAGGCAGCAGGTCAAGGTTAGAAGACTAGGCTAGGCAGTAAACACAAGCTCTGTGAGGATGTAGCACACGTGCCCGCTGCCCTGACGTTAGGAGGCGGGCACGCTCTAGTAACACAGACCTAGACAGCAGCCCACGTCGGGCCCACATCTCACTTTGTTTTAGGAACAACTTACAATTGATTTAAGCAATGTGGAAATGCTCGAGGTCTTTGGGCATATCCAGTACTTGAATCGTTGAGCCTGTCCTACTCTTCACTTCTGACAGTCACCCTGAACTTACACACGCTCAGCCCTCAGAGTTTACACTAAGTTTCTTGTTTTGTTCTATCTGTATACTGCCTGGGCTCCCTTTTTAGTCGTTCTGGGTAGCTTTTGGCTCCCGGCTTCAGTGTGTGTAGCTGGCTCTGCTGCTGTGGAGCAGAACATCACGGTAGCTGTGTGTGTAGAGCAGAAGGAACCCAGGTTCAGCACACGAGACTTTAGGGGACACTTAAGATGTGAGCCATCAACACCACTTCAATAGATCATCCACTTCTATACAGGCAGCAAGCCACCGTTGGTCGACTCTGTGTTCTCTTTCCTTTTTTTTTTTTTTTTTTTTTTTTTTTTGCTTATTGGTTTTGTTTTTTGAGACAGGGTTTCTCTGTGTAGCCCTGGCTATCCTGGACTCACTCTGTAGACCAGGCTGGCCTCAAACTCAGAGATTTACCTGCTTCTGCCTCCCAGAGTGCTGGGATTAAAGGACTGCGCCACTGTGCCTGGTGTGTCTGCTTTCACATGGAAGAATTTTGAAAGTTTTTAGGTTATCCTGATGCCTAATCTTGCCATGTGAAATTATCATAACTATATGCATGAAAATATTTGAGTTTGACTTAACAGCAGTCTCTTCTTTGAGGGCTAAGGAGGTGGCTTAGTGGGCAGGAACAACTCTACAAGCATGGGACCTGTGCTCAAATCTCCACAATCAATGTGAAACGCTGCACATGAGCACACACTCCTGAAACCCCAGTGCTGGCTAGAGGGGCCAGGAAACAAGAGGATTGCTGAGGCCTGCTGTGCCGGCTAAGCACGGGTTCAGTGTCTCCATAAGGAAGAATGGCCTTAAGATGGCCTTACACTTGGCAGGCCCCACTGATAACTGTCTTCCCTGCAAATTTTATATTCTTAGACATTGTATAAGGCCTACTTTAATTGTATAATTTTATGTGTTATAATTATGCTTTCAAGGTGCTTATTAAATACAAGTAATCACTCGGGTGTGGAAGCCTTTGTAATTCAAAATATCAAAAATCAAATTGATACCTCATTTAAGGTAAGAGACAGACCCAGGTAAGGGGTCAGTTACCAATTTCTTTATTCATACGTGGCATATGTCAGTATGGGCTTACCCAGTGTTTTTCTACCTGTGAGGCTAAAGTATCCTTCCCTATTTAAAAATAAGCACCATCCCCACATCCCTGAGATTTGAAAACTTGTTAACTATAAACTTAAATTGAATTTAAGTTTAATTAGGTTTTGGATGATAATACAGCTTTTGTTTGCTATATATTTCAGAAAAATAAAAACTGAGTCTCATCTGTATTTTAATATGCACACCCCATGTAGAAACAAGATGACCAGTGCTCTCAAACTTGCAGGAATTTCACATGTCTGGAAAGTGAAAGTTAAAAACATGTATTAAAAGTATAATTTTGTAGTGTTGGGTCATAAGATTCATCATACTAGCATTTCTTTTGCTTTTCAGAAAACATACAACAGATGGTTTGCAGGCGCACAGCTGACCTCTCTGTTAGACTTGGTCCTGTCTCTCCCTGAGGGTGCTGAGACAGACTTACTGCAGAACTCCGACAGGTGAGGCGACTGCTCAAGTTCTAGTGTCACTGCTGCTTTGCGGTCTGTAGTAGCTCATGAAAAGATGTGAACTTTCCTATGCTACTCAGTGACCTACAGAAACGAAACCACTCTTTCACCGACAGTGGGGGGCTCAGCTTTACAGAGATTTGAAACCAAGCATTTGTGACTAAGAATCTCCCCAAGCAGTTCATAAAGGGCTTATGTATTTTTTCCCATATAGAACATATACTTTTACTTCTGATGTATTAGAATGGATGTGAGGAAACGCTTGTATCTCATTTCTTGAGATCTGGAAAGCAGGAAGTGATGGTCCTGAGGACAGTGGGGCCATCTTTGGGGAAATACTCATTTGTGAACTGACATCAAAACAGTGGTGAGAGCTGCTGCTGCTCCACAGATAGGTGGGACACTTTCTGGGTAAACATGTTAACAATGGTATTTCCAGGCTTTCAACCTGCTTGATATACTGCAGGTGTTGATTTCATAGACCTAGACTGCAAATAACAAAATTTTTTTTTTAATTAACAGGATTATGGCTTCATTAAATTTATTGCGGTATTTGGTTATCAAAGATAATGAAATCGACAATCAAGTAAGTGAATCATTTGGAAAAGAGCCTGTGAGTATATTCACGACGACAGGAGTGTTTTAGTTTTCTGAATTGGTGCTTGCATCAGGTTCTGTACTGACACTGCAGTCATGAGCCCCCCCTTCTCCCTTACCTCTTTCCTGCTTTTCCTGCTGTGCTCTTCTGTAGTAAGGCTCGCTGTGCACCGTTTGTAGGGGAGCTGCAGGGCATGTGCTAACTGGCCTCAGGGAGACACACACACACACACACACGAACACCTTGCTTGGCCTCCTCTGCTTATGTGTGGCTCAAGATTTTAATACGAGCTATACAGATAAAATTATCTGATATTACCTCATCAGTCATGACAGACTGAAACATATTTAGCCCTAAAACTGGGTTTATTAACAGCACTTTTTGAATGGTGTGTAGGAAGTTGGATATTATTAATAGTGCTTCATTAGGATTATTCAATAAACGGAAACTATTTGAGGGAGATTTGTCATACAGTAAAATCACATTTGCTTCTGAGCTCCTTTCTGCCCACTCCATTCTAATAATTGCTCTCCTGTTACCTGTAATCACATGAATCATGTTAATCTGGACTTTTTTAGAAGTAATACAATGAAGGTAGTTAAGTTTCACATAAAAGTGCCAGAGAGATGGTTTGTTCTCAGAAAAGTCACAGCGTGGGATGGGAAGTCTGGGGAGCAGCTGCACCCTTTACAGATCTAGTGGAGTCAGAATGTGACCTGCTCATGGCTCTCCACCCAGATGCTGCACCGCCAGGGTTCACTCTGGCTTAGGTTGTAGTAGATGTTGTTTTTTTTTCGTTGTTTGTTTGTTTGTTTTTCAGTATTTTATTGTTAAAAATTGAAATGTCCAGAAAAACTAAAAGAATTCTACAGCAGTCATTCATTTGCTAGTTCATCTGCTTCCTCATGTATCTGTCTCCCATCTCTATTCATTTTTCATTGCTGTATTTTTTGATGTACTTTAAAAAATTAAGTCAAAGTTAACTGTAGACATTAATTTATTTTGCCCCAAACATTTCAGCATTAATATTTGTCAGCAGTTTTTCTGTGAAGTAAAATTTACATAGATGAAGTGCACAGGTAAATACATGGTCATTGAATTTTGGTTTGGTTTTTCAAAACCGAGCTCTATAGATCTGCTTTATCCAGCTGGGCATCAAATTTACTGATGTTCTCAGATGTTCTCACTGCTGTGCCCATCCCCTGACAGAGGTGACCACTGTCCCAGCCAGGTGCTGTGTGCCATTCTTCACAACACTGACAGAAAAGTGCTCTTTCCCTTCTCATTAGGAACAGTGCTCAAGGGGAGAAGTCTAGAAAAGAATAGAAGTTGGCTATGGGTCCAGGAAGAACTTTTGAAATTAAACGAACCCCTGATTCCTAAAGGGGCGTATGGGAAAGCCAGAAAAGATAGCATGTAAGTTGAGCAGCATGGGCCCTGGGGCCCTGGCAGGTGTCCTTAGGGAAGGTAGGCCGGATGGACACAAGAGTTGATGTGATGTGCCTGCACAAAGTCGTCTCCTAATTAGGAATGATAGATGTATTTGCTGTAGAGGGAGTGCCAGAAGAGCCTGTCTGGAGAGGCAGGGCAAGGCCTACTGACATCCATAGGGAATGCTTTAATGTCCTTTGATGTGGACATTTTATGATAAGGGAAAGAATGCAGCCCACGTAGAGGGCTGCCTTATGTAATAGCTTATTTTTTCCTATAAGAACCAGATACTGGTTTTTGTTTGTTTGTTGCTGTATGCCACCATAATAGTTATCATACCAGGGAGGTAATCACCAGGAACCATACTCTAAATTACCAGGTTGATACCTGGTGGCAGCTTAACAGCCTGTGTGTAATGGGAGCATTGCTAAGAACAGTTACAACAAGGAAAGGCAGACTTGGCCACTGTGCTTCACAAGTGACTGACAGCTTCCCTGCAGGAGCGACTCCTTCCGGGCCAGCCTAGGTGTGGAACGAGACCCTGAAAACAAACAAGTGTGGCTTCTGGCTTGTTGCACAAGTCACAAAGTAGCACTGTGGTGTTTGGGCATTTTACTCCGGGAACCCTAACAGTTCTTGTTGCTCACTTTGGTATGCTAAGAGAGGAACGATAGAAAGGCACTCGGGGAGAGTAAGCTGTTCCAATGTGAAGCGATGAAGTGATTCATAGTGAGCAGTTTGAGTCAGTCTACCTGCCTCCTTCCTAAGCCCACCGTGCCTGGCTCTTCTGCCCTCCTAGCTTCCTGCACGTGTGTCAGCGCTTTCTTCCACACCTCAGTCTCCTGCCATTTAGAATCTTTCAAACTGACCCCTCATCTCTAAGTTTCATAGCCCACGGTCTCTTTAGACTCAGGTTGTTCCTTGTTTTGAATTACAAGTTTATTCTAAAATAGAGCCATAATTGTGCTCTTGCTTACCCCCTGTCCTCTTCACTGAAATCCAGTGCCTGTGTGTTCAAAATTAAAATGTGCCAGGACTGGAGTTGTAGCTCAGAGGCAGAATGGCTGTCTTGAGGCCATGGATTCAGCCCTCAGCACCACAATGAAAGTGTGAAATGAAGCCCAGCATCTCTAAGGAGGCTGCAGAGCTACATAGCTGGTGGTGGTGGCTCTGCCACTCAAGTGGTGAAAGTTCTGGGACACCATTTAAAAACCACATCATGTTTAGAGGAAGGGCTGAGAGAGCATGGCCGTGCCCTTTTCTGTGGCTTCCTTCTATCACGGCAGACTCTGCCCGCAAGATCCCAGCCTGTCCTACAAGCTGTTTCGCTGTGGTGTCACAATGTCTACTTGGGCTGGGTAGCTGCAGTGAATTTTGGGTGCACAGTTAAGATAGAACTCAAGATTTCAGAACTGTTAGTGGATGACTTGAGTATGAAATGGAAAGCACATTTGAGCAGATTTCAGAAGGCTTAATTTTAACCCCTATAAACGGTGTAAAAGAATCGTGTTACTTTTTAAACATTAAAGCTGAAAGGAATCTTAAATTCTTTCTTTTGTGTTTTAAAAAAGCTCTGGTACCTTCCCTGTAAGACAGAATGTATCTTCACCTCCACAGCATCCTTACTCCCACATGCATCTAAAGACAGTCCCACAGGGAAGACTGGAAGTATGAGGAGCATGGAGAAGAGAACTGCTTTAGGCGGACTTTGAAGAATGCTTTTATTACTCAGTTTTTTAATGTTATGGGCTACAAATCAATTATTGCCTTTGGTGGGATGCATGGCTCATGCCTTTAATTACAGCCCCTTGCCGGCCGTGTTAGCAGAGAAAAAGAAACTGAGCTGTGTATCCAGTTACTCCTTTTTGTTGTTTGTAAGTCCGTGCTCTTTAAAAATTACATTATTATTTCTGTGTATGTGCCTGCACGTGCGTCACCAGTAGAGGTCAGAGGACAACTTTTAGGAATTGGTTCTCTCCTTCTACCACGTGGGTGGGTCCCAGGACCTAACTCAGATGGTCGGGGTTGGCAGCGACGGCCTTAACCAACGGAGCCTTCTTGCTGTCCTGCTGCTTTGTTCTTTAGACAGGGCCTCAAGTTGCCCATGCTGGCTGGAACTTGCTATGTAGCCAACAATGATCGTAATTCCGGAATTAGACAACCCTTGTGCTGGTTGCATAGGAAAACAGACCAGCTTGTGACTTCCTCTAGACTGTGTCTTTCCTGTAGGACAGCAGGACTGTAAGGACTTCCCACGTGGGCAGGTGTGTGCCCGCGGGAAGTCTTGCTCAGCTGTGGGGAGCTGCGTTCAGACACCCTCTCTTGTCCTCACCTCTCCAGGACAGGCCCAGCCAGTCACGGCTCAACAACTGTTCTGGTTTTTGTCGTCAAGAGCAGTCGCCACGTGCCTGTGGCTGGCCTGGAACATGCCCACATCTCATAGGATGTATGTCAAGTGACACAGCCGTAAAAAATGTGAAACACGGATGTTAGGTTTATGCCACCTCTTGAGTAATGGGGACTTCAACCATAACTTCCTTTTGTGCAAATACGGGAAGGTATTTTCTTTTGATAAAGCCATGTGTAGGTTAAAAAGTATCCCCATGGGAACTTGAGAGAGAGGGCTCAGTGGTGAAGAGCACTGGCGATGACAGGCTGGGCAGTGATGGCGCATACCTTTGACCCCAGATCTTGGGAGGCAGAGGCGGGTGGATGTCTGTGAGTTCCACCCCGCCCCCCAGCACACATACACACAGAGGCTACTCTTGTGGAGGACCTGGGTTTGATTCTCACCTAGTCCAGTCCCAGGAGATCCAGTGCTCTCTTCTGGCCACTCTGGGTACCAGGCACATGTGGCACTTTATGCAGGCACAATGCTCACACACATCCAAAAAAGAAGTGTTCTTCATGAACCACATGTCATTAGTAACCTTGTCAGCCATGAAGGCAGCCGTTGCGGGTTGTGCTTACAGGTAGAGGAAGGGGGAAGCTTTAGAAAGGGGACAGATCTGGAGACAGGCGTTGGCAAGAATGGAACAGGTGGACAGGTGTGAAGAGCCACGAGGACAGTGGTGGCACACGTGCCCTGCGGGACTCAGGCTTGTACAGTAAAAGGGAAAGTTCCTGAAAGCACGTCAAGTTCACGTGTTTAAAACAAGAGAACTACACCAAGAGAAATTAGCAGTAGAGCTGGAGGTGGCTCTGAGGATGCCAAGCCTGAAAGCCGGAGTTTAACCTCATGTGGAAGAAAATCCACATGGCAGAGTTGTCCTCTGACTCTCTGTCTCTCTCTCTCTCTGTCTCTCTCTCTCACACACACACACACAAAATACATGAGTAGGAGGAACAGCTCAGCAGGTCGAGGCCTGTACACAGGCCTGACGACCTGAGTTCAGTCTCTGGGTCCCACACAGTGTCCATGTTGTCCTTTTAACCTCCACATTCACACCACAGCACAACACTGTCCTCATGCACGTGCACAATAAAGTAAACTTACAAAATGCCTAAAAATAAAAGCACGAGTCACACACCCATCAGCCCTTGTGGATATACTCTCCTAGGCCCTTTCTCTTTTAAATAAAAATGAAGTCATGCTATGTAAAATAGTTTCTGCCGGTCAACAGTAATTACTCAAGAAAACACTGACCGGCTGCGCAGTTTCCTCGACGTGAGCGAGCGTGTGGCAACCTAACGCCCCGTTAAACATGTTCTTGCCTCCTTTCATTCAATGTTGTGGTAAAGGCATCAGAAAATCACCCTTGTTTTCCAGGCTAAATCCAGATGTGTGGAATGCACTTGGTCTATTTCTGAAGTCTGAATTTGTATTTAGTTTCTCCTTAGACCTCTATATTTCCCAGCAGTGAACCCCCTTCCTCATATATACACTTCCATCGTGGTGAACCCCTTCCTCAT